CTGATCTTGAGCCAGCATCTTTGGACAGGTTATGACTGCAAATGCAACTGCCTCCTAGTCTGCTTCCACCAAAGCAACCTGTGTGCAGTTAAGGATTTACACACTGGCCACTCCCAGAAAGATTTCTGACTGCAGTCATGGTGGTCAGTCTGAAGATCCAGTCAGGAAGAGCCAACAGGGACTGCATGACAAGGGTAGTATCTCCTCCTCTTATGCTTGTGCTTTTAACATGATTTATACGGTTTTCCCCTTGAGTATAAACTCAAGCTTTCATTTTAAAGCCTACAAAAGCCAAGACCAAGGGTTACCCATGCAGCCAGTCACTTAATCACTGCCTTTGCCCATGCTGAGGAGAGAGCTCCCAAGCATGCTGCTTTCTAATACCAAAGCTATCCCATTTCCATTTTCACCCTGCCAAGCCGAGAGCTGGCTACCCTCTCATCCCAGAGCTAATGCACCTTCTGCTTTGAGCAGCTTGGCACACACCACAGAGGACATGTCATGTTAGAGAAGGGAAATCTAGTCCTACTGATGCTTCAAGGGCCCTCACTGCCCACTGTTTGGTATCCCCATCATTTGCTGCATGACCCCATGAGCCCAGAAGGCTTATCCTAGGGATAAGGTGCTTGTTTGCCTTTTTGCAACAAGAGCAGACAGAGGCAGCCCAGAAAGGTATGCAGTTAGATACTTCTGCAGGGCTGGTCTGGCTCTCTCGTCCTAGAACACGAAACAGCATAAATACCTACTGGGTGCATCTGCAGTCTCTTGGAGAAAGGGCCTCCAGGACCTGCATGCTATTTTCCTGCAACACCTACACACCAAGTGAAAGAAAGCACAGGATTAAGCTACGGTTCTTCAAGGCTGCAGATAAATAGGCCAGCATTTCACTTCTTAAGCACAATCCCCAGCAGCATGAGCTTGTCCATCTCAGCAGAGCGCCAGGGACAGTCAGAGGTGAGGCCAAGGCTGGTGAAGCAAGCACCTATCAAACACAGGGGCAGTCACTGCATCTGCCCAGTGCAGTGCCATTAGGTCCCCATATTTAAATGGCAAATAAGAACAACAACGTTGTTGCCTTCTGTCAGGTTTCCCGCAGTTTCTGATGATAACCACTGCAAACTGAGATGCAGGTGCAGTTCCCAGCACAGGTTTCCAGTCAGCAGAACGCCAATATCCACAGTTATGCCACCCCGTGCCCACAAAACTCCAACTCTCCTTAGGAGACCCAGAATTCAACACAAATTCAAGGGGCTACACTGGTATTCCATGGGATGAGGCATTCCCCAGGGCAGTAAATATATTTTACAAGACTTTTCTGACCTGGTTCAAGGCTTGCTGAATTTCCTATATGCACACAATAGCCAAATTGCTCACAGGTTTGGGATGAATTGGAACGTGTCAGCTCAGGATCCACCTCTTACCACAGCCCCAAGGAGGAGGCACCAGCTCAGAGTTTCAGAGGATTACCTTTATCTAGAAAAAACACATAAGACAGGCAAAGCCCAAGCTGATGTTCCTGCCCCACTCTCCTTTTCCCCTGGGGGCCGTGATTCATTACCAGCTGGTTTTGTTCTATTAATCCGAGGTGACACAGGGGTCAAACAAAGTGTTTTGCAGGTCCTCCTCTATTCTCACCACCCTGGACAGGCAGATGAGCACATGCCCATTGACCACACTGAGCCATGGCTTGCTGGTCAGATGCCACAGCTGTTTGTGTATGAAAGCCCACAGCCCAGTCTCCTGACTGAGAGCTGGGTATTGCAGCACTTTGGGTCTTCTCTCTTAATCCATATTATCACTGCTATTGTGGGTGACAAACTAGATGAACTCATTTGCTAGAGGAAACAACTAGCACTATTCCCCTCACCAACTCCAGGCAGATGTTGAAGCATGATATATATGTATTTCAACCCTAGTTGCAAAAAACCCCCCTGAGATATATCATGACATCCACCTAGAGCTTAAACATCCTCCAACTCACTGCCACACAGCAGGTCTCACTCAGCCCTGCTTCTGACCATGCAAGTGAAAGCACAGGTGATCACACCAAGTAAGCCTTGCCCCTTTAGCTGGTTGACCCCCAGCTAAGACTAGTGCAGTCATCCTCACCTTCCCGCCTGTCCTGCTGGACTCCAACAGAGCTCACTCTTATCTGTGTATCAGGTACTGCTGAATGAACCTTGCTCAGGTGCCAGACAAAGAGGCAGCCAAGCTCGAAGCAGAAGGGATTGCGAGGATGACACAGAATTAACAGGCATCAGCATTCAGCAAGCAAGCAGAGAACGCGGCGATCTATTTTTAATGGTACAATGAGAGTGCTTTACAAAAGGATGTGTCTGGGGAGATTCTGCCCAGTCAGAGATTTGCATTCGGGTTTTTTTGCAGCAGTCAACTTCCCTCGGTGTGCAGGAGTCATTTTGTCTCTTCACCACCCTGCACAGCAATTCAGAGGGCCCTGGCTCAGTTTTGGCTGGAGGCTCATTCCTCTGGGTCACCTTCCTGCCCTGCTGCATCCTTGACTTTCCACCAGAAGAGCTGAACCTGAGGTGAGCCATAGGTAAGGTATAAAGGACAGCTCCTGGCTTTCTTGGCTTCTGGGTCTCAGCCCTGCTGAGCCAGTACAGCTGCCAGGTACATCTCCGCAAGGTCCACCGACAGCAGCAAAGCAGTTAACATGGTTTTTCAGGGCCTAGCTCAAGTCAGCAGTGCTGGCACCCTCTCTGCACCAGCCCTCCACTCAGCAGCCTCAAGTGCCAAGCAAGACTCAGGCTGCGCCCGTCCGCTCCCCAGGCAGGGCTGCCGGCCAAGGCAGATGAAGATGGCATGAATAACTCCACTCAAGCTACAGCTCAAGGAGGACCAGGCTGCCATCGCAAGCTTGGAAATGAGGGTTGTGAGAGGCAATGCAAAAACAATCAGATGCTGTAGATACTTCCTGGTTGCTTCTTTTCAACAGCTCTCCCCAGAGGTGGATGGGCTCTCTTTATCTGGAGAAAAGATCACCTGGTGTTACCCAGGAGGGTCTGGACTTGAAGAGATATGTGATTTATGCAGGCACAGGTTTAACGTGTGGGAAGGTCTTGACTTGCCTGATGCAAAAAACCTGCAATCACCTAATAGACTGAAATTTCTCCCAGAGCTTCTGCTGCATCAGCTGAATCACCATGTGTTAGCTTTAGACAGCAGCAGCAGCGCTCCTCAAAGAACTAAATCCCCTATTAAAAAGACGAAAAAAGGCGAGATGAAAAGCCGGGGATGCGGGCACACCGCGCATCCAAATGCCGGATGAGTAATGTGGGTTGACAGAGACGAACCGGAAAGACGCACTGCATCATTAGCAGGGCTGGAGGAGGTGGGGAGGAGGATGCCACGGTCATGCTGTCACTGGAATCTCCATACAGGATCAAAGCAGTGGTCCACCTCATTCTCATCCCCTCAAAATCACAGCCTAATAACAGGTATTCTACAAAAGCCCGTGAGAAGCAAGACAGTGGGTACTTATGGACTAGTCATGCAATAATGTAGGTTTAAAGGGATCTCAGGAGTTCATCTGGTCCAACCCCTCTCTCCCTTAAAGGAGAAGTAACATCAACACCAGAACAGATTGTCTTGCCCTTCTGGTCACCAAATGACTTGTTTGTTCCCAGTCATCAGTGGACTTGGAAATAATGCTCCCCATAACTCAGGATGCAGAAATGCTATAGAGAGACCCACTTATGCAAATTGCTAGAGGACCCTGAAGGGCTCTGGTGAAATTCCTGAAGAATACAAGGTCTCTGCCACAAGGGAAGGCTTGAACAGCACAATGAAGGGAGACAAGTCATGAATGCACACCTCAGGGAACCATGATATAAACCTTTCCACACACAGAAACAACATGGAAAGAGATGTAAGAGGAGTGGGAACAAAAGAGGGAATCAAAGAAGGATCTCCAGCCCCACATAGGTTGCTGGGATTCTCTTAATTTTAAGTCAGTGCAAAATGCAACACTTATTTCAGCTTCATGTAACACACTCCCTGCATTTCTGTCCTATTATTATTCCCTATTTGCACCAGAATAATCCATGTACTGGACCAGTTTCCAGTGAGCACCTCCAGGTTCTCCTCCAAACCCAGCCCAGGCTACCACTGCACCTATCTTTTGAAACATTGATCCCTCCAAGGTACCATGCAAACAAGCACCACTTGTCACTTTGGGAAACTGGAAGTCCTAGAGAAGCCCTGGGCAAAGCAAAGGAAGAAACCTCCTGCACACCACGCTAGATTACCTTGTCCAGCTGGGTCTAGAAAACCTCAGAGAAAGAGCCAAATAGCAGAGAGATGGAGCAAGTCATCCTACAGGAGCCATGGCAGTCTATAGCATAGGCTGGGCAGGGCTCTCTGCCAGGCATGGTCACCCAATGTGGCCCACCCTCACTCTTACTCTCCTTACTTAAAAGTGGAGATGGTTGAGAGCCAAAGGAACTTCTTGGACAGCATGAAACCAAAGGCTTTGGGGTAGAAAGTCTACAAACATCTCATGGAAGAGGAAGAGGTAAGACTCTGTTTTCCTTTCCGTGACCTCAAACTAAAAGGGAGACAGGGTGGCCAAGGCACCTGCCATGACCAGAGCTTTAGCATGTTCCCCCGTGGTCTCAGCTGCTGGCCCACTTCTGGCAAAGCAGCTCTCCCATGGGCATGAGACACATGCCACGGTCTCCCCCTCCATCACGTGAGCAGGCAAACCCATTGCCAGGGTGCACTATACCACCCACTGTCCCCAAAGGAATCTGCTCTACCACTAATCACACGACAAACTCCACCTGGCTTTGATGACAGCCCCTCATGCCATTAGTGCAGAGCATCTTGGCACGGTCAGTTTTTACCCACTCTAACATTCCCCTGTCTGTGTTTTAATCCTGCACACAAAGTACACCCAGATCTCCTGAGTAAGCTTGAGAAAATCTTGAGCAGAGAGCTTGTTTAGCTTCTTATCTGATGAATGCTCCCAGGCCACTCACCTCCCTTCCTCAAGCCTGCTGTAATTACGTCAGGTGCCTCCTTCCCACTGGCATCAGGCGGGACAGGTGTATCTTCAGAGAAGAAATTCGAAGCTTGAAAAACAGGTTTTAAAACCCAGAGGGCATGGGGATGCAGAGGAGCATTGAAGCTTTCCCCACAGGATGACTGCACTGCCGCTTTGGCTGCAGGAGCTTCTCTGCATAGCAGCAAGGGAAAGAGTGCGGTGAGACCCAGGGGCTGCGCTTAGGGGAGTGTGAGCACCTGGGCACGTCTGCAGCCATCTGCCCCTTACCACTGCCACTGAACACACGGCAGAGGGGAAAAAGGTCTGCAAACTCTCCCAGCGCAACCTCTGGAAGAGCGCGGTCAGCATCCACAAGCTCCTTCTCTTTATCACCTCCTCCTCTACCAGATTTGGTTTGCTGGAACTGTTTCAGTATGATGGCAGCGTCCTACGAGCCTGCACCATAAATCAAGGCTGCCAAGCGCTGGAGCACCTTCTTTTCCTCCTTCCATTCCTGACAGTGTTAACATGCTCTGCACCTGCCTGTGCCCTGGGCTTCGGGAGCTGAGCTGTGCACCGGAGAAACTAACCTCTGATCCCTAAGAACAGCCTCCCTTAAAGGCAAGGAAGCAAATCCAAAGAGGAAAACCATCTATAACACACCCCCTATTCCTTAAAGCAGCTGGTGCAGAGGTAAGGGGTAGTAGGGATGGAGTGGGGACTTGCTCATATTCATGCTAAGAGAAGTCATTTCATAAATCCAGAGACACAATGGGTTTCCAGCCTTTGGGGAGGTTTTCTGGGGGAGGATAGGGCTGCACAGGAGAGAAGCCGGTTTTCTCTCACGTCTCAGGATCCAATTTGGCAACATGGGATAGGCACTACTGCTTAGTCCTACCCAGCCCTCAAGGGTGTTTTGGTAGCAATAGTGATGTTGCATTTAGTATTAGGTGAATTTAAGCTCTCCAAAGGCAGGCACCTCGTGGCTTTCTCAGCGAGGTACCTGGCACCCAGCAAAAACACACACTGCAGACAAACATGGTGCAGTATTTGCAAGAATAAACTCCATGCAGTGCCCCAAGCGAATGCTCCTAAGGACTCTGGCCATTTTGCTCAGCTCTCCCAAACCCAGCTGAGGCTAAATTTTAAATAGTGATGCTAGATCCAGGTTTTCCTTCCCTACTCCTTACCTTGTGTCTAGGCAGGGACGACTGAAAGCCTCAGGAGGCAAATCTGTTGGGTTAAAAGACTTTGGGGTGAGCTACCGTCATCTCAGCTTGGAAACCTTCCAGCCCCAGGTTTGCACTTCTCAGTTGTGTTGCCAATGGGCTGAGGGCAGGAATATCTGCCTACTGCCACTGCAAAGAGGCATTCAGGCACCCCTATGCTGCTTACATGCCTGCCTGTCCACTGTGGTCCCAGCCACTCGGACAGTCCTACACATCCAGGCTCTGCCACTGTGGTTGTGCCAGGAAAAACTGGGGACAAGACACCTGCAAGGTCCTTGCAGGCATTATAAAATTCCAAATACACTATGGCCAGAAGGGCTTTCTTAGTGCTGCAGCTTATTTTGTTTTGGGAACTGTTACAAGCAAAACCAAAGCAAGCGCAGGAACCCCCATCCAGACCCAAACCCCAACAAACCTCTTCCGCAGACAGAGTCCTCCCGACATGGATGCCCTCCGACAGCGCGAGCACAGGGGCACACAGAGGCAAGGCCAAACCCATAAGGGCCAATTCCCATGCACTGAGTCCTTCCAAAAACAAAGCTCTCCCACAGCCACATTTGGGCGCTTAGGCAGCTGTGCTTTGAGCCCTTTGCCTTAGTGCAGTAGGATGAGACAATGCAAGCAAGCGTTAAACACCCCTCCACGGGCAAGCTGCTTTCAAGGTTATCATGGCCCCTGCACTGCCAGGCACAATCCTCAGCGCTACCTGTTCAGGCTTCTTGGATATCCCAACCGTTTCCTGGGGGAGGGGGGTCTGCCTTATTACCCCAAATTAGAGGGAGATGGAACCTCCATCAACGATTCCCAACGCGTTCCTCATCGCTAGCTGCTTGGGACAGGGATGGTCTCTTCCACACATGCTAATGCAGCACCCAGCTCCCACCAGGGAGCTGTCGATAACTACCGCAATACGAAGGATAAACGCATCCATGCCAGAAAAATCCAAATATCCCTAACAGAACAGCACTGCACCGCGTTCCTCCTTCTAACAAAACCGCAAATTACTGACCTGTGCACAGAGCTCCCCCAATGCAAGCTGAAGCACTGACATCAGCTTTTGCTGTTGCTCAGGAATTTAATTCTGGGGGAGGAGAAAAGGGAGGGGGGAGCAGGAAGGAGAAGGAACTTATTTATCAATAAGGGAAATAACCAGGAATCTTTAAAAGCAAACAACACTGAGCACAGAAACAGACATTTATCACTATATAATAATTGGGGGTGGGTGGGGGGTGATCAGTCGGTGCAGGCACATTAGGGGAGGTGGAAGGGATTATTTTAAACGGGCAGCTTAACTCATTAACCGCGAGCAGCGCCTTCGGAGCCGCAGCAGTGAAGTGTTGCATTAAAACCCCCGCTGCTGAACACATGCCGGCTTCGTTTAAACGCCAAGGACACAGGGCGACACTCCAACCTCTTTCATCATCAGAAAAACCACAGCGCTGTTAACACCGGCTCCTCAAACACCAGCCCTCAGCCCCGCCAGAAAACCCCTCCACCCGCGACCCCCGGCGCGGCAGGACAGCGGGTATTCCCCGGCGCTTCCCAAGCCCACTCCTCACCTGCACCACCGCCGCCCGGCAAACGCGCACCGCGAAGGCAGGGTGGGATTTCCACCGCCCCCCGAAAATAAGCGCAGCGCCCCCGATATGCGCGGCGGCGGAGCGCCAGCTCCCCCTCTTCCCCACTCCCCGCGGAGGGGCTGCTCCCTCCCCAGCCCCAGCACTTCACACGCATCACTGTCCCTCGCACCGGAATAATTCCAGCCCCCCTCTGCAAACGCGGAGCCCTGTATCTCGGCATACACACGGGCACGTACATAGATCGGTACATGCTGTCCCACCGCCGCAGGGCGCGATGCCGGCTCCGCTCCGCACACGCGGGGCGCACCGCCCCGCCCCCACCCCCCCACCCCGCGCTCCTCCTGCTCCCCTTTTTCCCCCTTCCCCCCAGCCCCGGGGCGCACGGACCCGTCCGTCCCGCTCGGGCTCCCCGCGGAGGGGCCGCACTGACCCGGCGCGGCGGGCGCGGGGCCGCCCTGCTCCGCTCCGCGGCCGTTCCGCCGGCGCGGCCGCTGCCGGCGCCGCAGGGCCCGCATGCCCCGGCGGGCGGGGGAGGGGGCGCTCCGCGCTGCTCAGCGCTGCTCCGCGCCGCTCCGCGCGCCGCCGGGAATGCGCCGGCGATGAGGTCATGCCTTGGGAGCGGAGGGGGGGGGGAACGGGGGGGAAAAAAAAAATAAAAAAATAAGGGGGGGGAAGACAGCGTTGACGTCACCCGCAGCCAATCAGCGCGGGCGGTGCAGGGCAGGGTGACGTCAGCCCCGCGGGCGCGGAGCGGAGCGGAGGGTCTGGGAGACGGGATACCCCGCGGAGAGAGCGGCCTGGGCAGCGCAGCCTTTCTGGGGGTGTCCCTCCTGGCCGCTGAGGTCCCCGGGGGATACCCCCCAGAGCCGCGGCTGCTCCCGACAAAAGACGCACTGCCGTGTATTTTTGGGTCATGGATGTTTCCCGGACTGCCCGGCGCCAGGGCAAGGTTGAGCCAGGAGCTCTCCCGCAGGTGGAGCTATCCCTGTCGGCTGCCAGCACCCCAGCACCCTGCCCGCGGCTCGCCCACCCGCCGGCGCTGCGCACCCCAAATAACGCGCTGCTGAGCGTGGGGCAGCGGGGGGGCTGCCGGGGCGCCCCACGGGGCTCGCTCGCTCTGGAGCGCCCAAGCTGGGGAAGGACAGACGTAAAGGCAGGGCGATCTCGGGGAACGGCATGGCAAAGAGTGACCCAAAAGCTGTGCGTTCAGGAGGAGCCTGACCCACAGGTCGGCTCCTGGATGGATGGAGCGGGCTCACCCCCATCCCGCTGCGATTTCGCCAAAGAGCTGGGCAACTCTCCTGACTACACAGCAGGGGTTTTTCTCTGTCCTTGGCCCTGGCTTGGCAGCTCCAGCTTAGAGAGGGATTAGGGTTTAGAAGCTTACGTTTTGCTGGTGCTTAGGAAATGAAGGGAACCTTCCTCCCTGCTGATACAGATGCCGGATGTTTTAAAATTAACTCTCATCTCTCCAGACATGCGGCCAGCAGCTTGTTCAAGAAGAATGTCGAGCTCCCACAGTAACTGTCGGCAAACACTTTCCCAGAAATGTCATTTCTCATAAAGCACCAGAGGTATAAAACCCTTGGATGCTAAAAAGTCTCACTCTCCCCATTGCATAAGCAATGTTGAGTTCATGCCCTTCTCCTACCTCAGGAAATCAGCTCACCCAAAGCTGTCAGCAGGGAAACTTTTACAAAGCCAGAGCTATTCTAGCTAAATGCACGGGTTTCAGCCCAGTTACCATAACTGATGGTAAGATACTGGGGTAACATGGTCACTCACTTCTCTAGCAGCTCTGTAGCACTTGGTCCTGATGGGAGCTGGAGCTGGAGCATGCCTGACATGACTGGAAGGAAGCCTTTCCTGCTGGTTTTCCTGCGCAGCTCCCTCCTTACAGCCATGCAAGACACCCTAGATGGGGAAAATCTGAGAAAGACATCTCTTGCTTCAGCTTCAGACTGTTTCCTCCTCTGCCCAACACCCCTTTTCAAGGGTAAAATAGAAAAAAAGAGGGGGAAAGGAATGAGTGTGAAAATCCCAAAGCTTCCTTGTAAAAGCTGTTATCTAGGCAGAGAGCCATGAGCTCACAAAGCCTGCTGAAGGAAGAGGATTTAAACAGTTTCTTTCCAGATCCCAGTTAAAGTCAGTGTTTCCAACCCTGGACCTGGCACATCACTGCCAGATGAGCATCCCAGATCAGCTGTCAGGTAAATCGCTCCCTGTCATGGTGCAAGGGAGGAGTGTGGGGAAGGAGTTAGGAGAAGGATTCAGGCTTGCAGTAGACAAGGGATGGGGAGATGGTGAGAAAGAGACAGAGGATGGAATGTCCTGAGGGACTGCCGGGCAACTGCCTTGGACTGTTCATTCCAGCAAGAAAGCAAGCTGAGCTCCCTCTTGAGCCTTCATCCCTGGCAACCTCTCCTCAGCCACCCCATGCACCCCTGCTGCATCCCTGAGTGATGAGAACACAGGAGATTTGACCCCACAAAATACCTATTGCCGGCAAATAGGAGGAGCTGCTTCAGCGGGTCTGGGTACCAGAGGGACACCGATTCTCACGACCAGCGGGAGAGGCTCCAGCCCAGGAGCCTGCATCTCTCCCACGCCCACTGCTTCTGTGCGAGGCGCTGCAGCCAAGCGCCTGGTGGGGAGAAACCAAAACAAATGATTCACTGCTGTTAAACTGCTCCCAGGATCACAGGGGCCAGGAGCAGGCGGTGACTGAGGCTTGCAAAACCTCACTTGCCTCCCCAAAGCTGGGAGCTAACCCTATTTAGATCCCAATCCTGCTCAACCTGACATTCTGGCATTCAGGTGCGGACCCACTGCTACATGGAAGTGGGCAGCTAGCCTGAGCGAGGGCAGGGCTGTGAGCACACCTGGTCAGCTCTGCTCAGCAGAGTGGCTCAGCCATCCCTATTATCCCTATTTTCCTCAGGGGAAATTAAGCTGGGAGAACCAGGGCAATGCTGTAATGGTCAGGCAGGCAGAACAAAGCAGCCTCGTAGTCTCTAAGCTCCATCTACCAGATGTGAATCTATTGTCTCAGCCCCAGGGCCATCACACACCCTCCCTCCATCACAACCGTCATGAGCTGAGCAAAAATTATGCAGCAAGTTGCTTATTGCTAAAGGAAAGTGCTTAACTTCGGGTCAATCGCTTAAAAAATTATTCACCCCGCTCAGGTTTTTCATCTTTCCCAGATTTCAGGTGCATCCAAAGATGGGTTGCTCCCATCTACATGTTTCAAATGCAACTTACGCTTGTACATGTAGTAGTTCTTGCTAAAGCGTTTTCCAGGCCTCCAAACTGCCATGGCAAGCCAAGCGCAGAAGAGCGCCGCAGAGCCTCCTGCATCCTGCAGGGATTAAAATCAGAACTTGATCATGAAGGAAACTAAAACTAGGAAAAAGGAATTGCTGCCAAACCAACTCTCTTATTTATCAAAAAGGAGAGATATTTTGTCAACCTGTGACGTCTTTAAATGGGTTAATAGTCTTTTTTTAATCTATTCTGGTGTTCAGATGCAGTTCCTCAAAGCACCAGCTGAGCCAGGCTCCCATCGCCCTCTATCCAGCAGGGCTGGCTGTGGCACAAGACACTATTCCCCCCTTTAGGGGGCATTGGCACCTCAAAACTGTGCTGATAGCTAAGGCCAGTCAATCCTTGGGCTAACATGGCTCTGCTTCTACCAAGTGTGGTTGGTTCTGCTATGTGCATGCCTCTCTCCCTCACTACAGTGTTCCAGAGTGGGGCACAACATAATGCTGGAGGAAGAGGCTCACTAGGCTTTGTACTGTCCTGTTTTCTGAAAGAAAGGTATTGGCTGTGATGAACTCTCAATCCACCTTAGGAATTGCATCACTCCCCTCTTTCACACCTGCCCATGTTCTCCCCAGCTTTCTCCCTTCACGGCCGGGATGCAGCCCAGCACAGATCATCCCTAGTACATCCCAGCACGTCACCTTCCTCCTGCCAAACCCAAAATGGTGTCACTCAGTAAAGAGAGCTGACATGCTTGATCGGGCAGAAGGCACTTGCAGCATCACCAGGCAGGTGTGTTTCTCACATGGGGGCTTCCCCGGATCTGTCTCCCGTTTCCCAGTAGAAGTGGCTCAGCACTGGCAGGGTGCTGAGCTGTGCGTGCACGTCGCAAAAGCAGCCACGGCAGAGTTGATCGCAGCAGCAGCAGGCTTGAGGGCTGCGTGCTGTGCCATTCAGCTCCGTGCATGCTGCAGAAGCATTCATTCTGTGGCTCTCACTGGGCCGCCAGGCGCTCCTACCAGAGGGAAAAAGGAAAAATAACTCATCATACATTGAATAAATTCCCTCTGATTCCCTCTGCCCCGGACATGTCAGAGAAAAGCTGGGCTGGAGTGTGGACATGCGCCAAACATGGGGCATGGTTGCGGAGTGCCGGCATGATAGGTCAAAGTCAGGGGATGGGAGGGGTGGAGGAGCAGGACCTTTGCACTGGTATGAATCTGTCCTGACAGAGGAGCCAACTCTGACAGCGTCAGCTGAGCTGCACGGAGGTGTTACAGTAACACTGCTCAGGTGCAGGAAGCGTACCTGCTCCTTTGCCCTCAGTGCTGAAACCGAGTGCTGTGTTGGCACACACTTGGGTTTGCCCTGGGCAGTGAGGGTAGGCGAGTGGCTTAGATGTGCCTAGAAGTTGCCCGGGGTCATATTCTCTCCTCTGGAGGCAGTGGGAGAGGGATAAAAGAGAAGACAGGGAAAGGGGACGAGGAGAGACACCAAATGGTTTTGGTTTAGTATATTCAAGTCTTAAAAAATAATCTCTGCCCAGTGCTCCTGGACAAGGCATGGTCTTTCCTCTCTGTATGTGAATTGGGGATGAGAAAAACATTACCCTGGGCCAGAAGGCACCACAGAGCTAGGCTCTGTGAATGGATCTGTC